TGCGCAAAGTGCACTTCGCCATTTTTCAAATCGCCAAAGCCAGACGACAGCGACTTCTGGCTTGAAGTTTCAGATTGAAATTGAATTGCGATTGATATTGATTGGCTGCGTGCTTGAGCGACAACAACTCGGCCAAATCATGTGCAGCCAAGCAGGGATTTGCCCCAACTTTCGCTTATTGTTGCTCCCCGAAAACATATATAGTCGTTCCGCGTCCAGCGAGCGAGTTTTGGGTCCCTTGGTTTCCATTTGGCTGGCGGGAAATCGAATTTGGAGTCCCTTAGCCAAGCGCTCTGTTGTGCCCAGGATATACCGACTATAAGTTGTGTATTGTTTAGTCAAGTGCAGCTGCTCGTGCAGCTTGTTTATGTCCTGTGTAAATAGGACTCGCAGCCTTCTACGAGTGCGCCAGTTAAATGGAAGTACCAAGCTGAATTTTTTCAAATTTAATGCAAGCAGCATGAAATAGAGGGAACTTGAGATGTTAGGACTTATGGCAGTAGCGATTTATGTTTATTTATTTATACAATAAATTATAGTAAAGTATTTACGCTTCATTTTACTATTTATTAGGAGCGCTCCTTTGCTATCTAATACATATTTTCCCTTTTAGCAAATTCTAGACACACTCTCCTCAGCGACTCCCCCAGCTAGCTCTAATTAAAGCATACAAACCAGAGCCAGCACAATACCTTGCGGAAGCAATCAAACAAACGCAGTAACAAGGATTGCATTAGGATGCATACAAAAGCACTCCAGGACACCAGGGGAACCACAATAGGTGTGCCGGGCCAAAACAGGTGGCAGGAAAGCAGGAAAGGATGCTGGAGCAGCACTTGCACCAAGCACAGGTGCAGAGGTGGCTCTGGGCAACAACAATGGCAGTTCCTGCTGCCAGGATACCGATGGAAGCGGGATATCCTGGCGACACTAAAAATATTTTCTACCAAATTTACAATATGAAGTGGCTTGCTGCCAAAGGTGCTGCTTGCTTATGTATGTTATATAGTCTAGTTTGCAGCCACATCCGCATAAAGAAGCAGGCGGCATGGCTCCTGTACTATATATAGAAAATGTTGCACTTCATTGCGTTGACAGGAACAAACGTGGCACAGATGGAGTTCCTGCTCCTGTGTATCCTGAAACTCCATCTGTTGCTGAGTGCATTTTGAACATAATTTTCAATTTTCATGCATGTTTTGCCATTGGCTCTCGAGAAGGAGTGCGAAATTGTTTCTCTGTTGCCACGTGACAGTTTTGTGATTTACTTAATGGCCGCTTGGCGATTCAATGCCTGATGGCCATGGCCAAATGTCGGACCGAGTAAATGGAGATTTTATTTAAATCCCAGTTAGTTGAAAAACACTCAACATCTAGAGAGGGAATAAAGTATCAATAAGGGGTTTTGAGAGGGTGTCTAAAACAGATTTCGTTGAACTTTCCGGATGCAACATGCTTTTAAATGATTTCAAGCGATTTAAGGAAAGTTATTTTTTAGTTTTGAGGATTTAAAGCACAAAAGTGCATTAAATGAGATAAATTTTAATAAATTTAATACCATTCTCTATGTTTCACCTTGCTATGCTTTTACGATTTAATCATTTAAATTTCCTCATTTGCTTCACAATGAATTAAATATTTAATAAAATGATATACAGTGGTTTTTTCACTTTCAGCTTATGGATAAATATCAGTGAAATTTAATCATTTAGTTGACCAACTTTAAGTCTTGAAGCGCTTGGCAAAAATTCAATTCGTTATCGTTTTTAACACTTAACTCCCCATTACAGTAACTCAGTATTAAAAGCACTTGTTGCTACAATATTGTATAAGTGGTTTTAATAAGCATAATCTATTTACACTTAATTGATTTACATTTACAGTGAATATGCTCCCTCTGTAATGTGGCTTTAATCAGTTGGCTAAGCAAATAAAATGGGCGCTGAGAGAGTCATATCATTTGAAATGCGCTTTGAGACAAAAGAATAAAAGCCGTACACCCACCCGGCACTCCACGTTTAAAGTTTTAGCCGAAAAAGCAAGCCAACAATGGGCAAATTGTACTGGCCTCACTCTGGGCCCCCTACATTCGACCGAAGGACTTTGTTCCGCAGGCAGCATAATTAATTGCGGTAATTAGTGTGTTGGCAACAAACGGCAAACACACGAAAACATTCAACAACAGCCAGGCAGCAAGTGTAACAGCCAGAAAATGGCAAGGGAAGAGGGGAAAAAGGAAACTGGAAGGCGGAGAGTGGGAGTGGTTCTACCAAATGCATTTGCTTTATACAAGATTTGTGGGGTCCAACGACTCTGGCATATTAGTTAGTTTGCAGAGCAACTTTTATTTACGACTCTATAGCTGAAAAGCACTGCACTCAGAGGAAATGAGGGGTTTATTCTTAGTTTAAGTGGCGGAAAATATTTATTTTAATTATTTCAGTAAAGAAATTGATTTATAAAACTGACAGTTTACTTGTATTATAAAGTTTTCGTATAATTATATTGATTTGCTTACAGTAAAGGCATGCTCTTTGGAAACTGGGTACTATAAGGTGCTGATATACTACATATTTCTCAATGATATGGTTCTCTAAAGTATTAAATTACCCCTTTATTTTCCAAAGTGCATAATTGTAAGGTATATATCTCGACTGTTGACTGCTGAAAGGCCGATGGCGCTAATTTAGTTGGCCGGCCGTTGCTCGGTTCTTCTGTGGCGTCATTAGAAAGCGCAAAATTATTTTTATTGCTAAACAAACAGAAAGGACGAAAGACAGGAGACTGTAGAGATATACTTCAAGTAAATCTCTGTGGCTAATAAGCCGGAGTGGAGTACAAGGAGCCGAGCGCACAAAAAGGAGTTGCCCGGATGTGGCCCCGGGGAGTCTCCTGCTGAAACTCAAACTCGAAGGACTTTTTGCTCTCGCTCGCTTTAATTGGTCACTTGGCGCGCACAGAAGAACAATTTAATTTTCGCCATTTTCTTATTATCTCGATTTTACACTCGCCGTCTGTCGGTATAGCGAAAGTCTTCTGCTCAGCTCGCCGTTTATGTAATTAAGAGCTCCATACTCCTGACTCCTGGCTCCCGGATCCTGGCTCCTGGATAAAGGACCCACACTGCAGGACTCAGTGGAGGCAGGGTCAGGGGGGAGGGCGTGGCAGCGTCTGTTGTATGTTATTACCACCGAAGTCATTAAATCTTTTGTGTGTAATTAAAAAATTACAATTTAATGCTTTGCGCTCTCATTTATTGACACTGCATCCGCATCCGCCCCGTTGGCCGGCGGCAACTTAGCAAGCAAGCGGAAAATCAGAGAAGAAATCCGACTGAAGAAAATGTAGAAAATGTGGAACATTCCGGTGGTCATAATGAAGCACAAATGGAATCCCTAATGACGGCAACACAGCCTTATTAAGTGTGTGTTTATGGTTAGGTAAATGCCATTTTCCCGCTTTGTATTGCAATATGGGTCATGTCTCGCCTTTTAACGCTGATTACTTGGTCAATGAAGGTGTTTATATGTGGGATATTATCCATTTTAAAGGTTAATTAAGTAGTTGTGGTCTTAATCAATAAGACGATTGAAGCATTTTGCTTTTATTTTATGAGAATAATCCAATTACCACTGACAAGGAAACTTTTTGCATTTCACAGTTAGCTTCATTTCATGTTGTATATCAAATTTCTACAATTGAGCTTTAAATACCTTAAATTAATTTATAAATTAATACAAAAAACACCATGAACAAGATAAAAACTTCCACTGAAAGCCCTGATAATCCCTTTTGGAAACTAACTGAATTTATACCCGTATATAGTTTTCCCCTGCCACCCCACAAATATTACGCTTGATTTCAATTTGAGGGCTCTGACCTCCCTCTCCGCCCTTGTGAGTTGTGCGGAAAAGTTGAATGGCGAACTATCGATAAGCCAGATGAAACGAAACAGAAGAGTGAAAAAGGAAAACTGGTCGCTGACATGGAAATTGCATTGCCGGAATGGAGTCAGGCAGAGGAAGGCTTTTCTGGGAAAACTGCAGGCCTAAAAATTCGCCGGAATGCTGGTTATTTTTTTCTTTTCCCCCCTGCAAAGCTCTTTTCCAGCTGTCATGACTACAGGCGCAGTTGGCTTAAAGCGCTGATATACAAAGCTGCTGCTAGCTACCCACCCAGTTGGAAAATCCAACATTTTAGCTCTGCAAAAGTACGTCTATTTGGGAAATTAAGAATAAGCGGGCAGATTGTTTTCACCCCCGCCTATTTGCACACTAAACAGCGTGAATATCCCTGGCTCACAATGTGATGCGAAAGGCAAATGGCAAATGGCAAATGTCAAATGTCAATGAGGGGACATGCCTCCCTTTGCCGCCCTGTCTGTCTGTGCATAGAAAAATATTTAACGCGCGGCCAGGCAATAAAAGTCACTACGCACAATATGACACCGACGCATCCGCATCCGCATCCGCATCCGAATCCGACATTTGGCATTCATCTGATTTATGCGGCTGTCAGCAGGCAGCTCTGCCCTCCCCGCGGAATTGTCTCCCACCGGAGTCTGGGCCATGTGCGGGCTCCGGTTGAGCCTCCAGTTGACGTGGCTGATTGACAAACCGCGCTGTTTGCCGAAATGAACAGTTTGACATGCGGTTCTGGCCAAAAAGTGCGGTGGTGCCACCAATCAGGCCTTTGACTTGTTCCATAAAACAGACAAAAGGTGCGGCTGTCTTTATTTGTTTTGGCCTGATTTGCACTCGATAAACCAGGCACACCACATTTTTACACCCTTGCAGGTTATACCAATTTCAGTCATGAATTGAATTGACTTTCCTAAATTTCAAAACTCAGTATGCATATATAACCATTTGAAAACTAACACAGGACAGCTTTCCGAATTGAAATTAATGCATTTTTGGCTTAGTTATGATCAATTTGCATGATCATAAAGAAAACCAAAGTAAGATCTTTCCCGAAAATGGTTTCGTTATTCTCTCATATTTAATATAAATCATTTGTTTAATTTTTATTACGACCAGAGTATAATTTCTAGAAATGGCAATAAAAAAGCTGTTCTTATAAAATGGTAATTTTGCAGCCACTTTGGCTAAAACAAAGTGACGAGTGCCTTTGTCTGGTTAAATTTGCTCTATACTGGAGACATTCCCCTTGAACGATTTCTTTAGGTAATTGGCGGTAATTGCCGGATCCGTGAACACATGCCTCAGCCGGTGAAGTGGTAGTCCCAGGACTCGAGCCAAAAGCGGCTTGCACATGATGCAGAGTCCACTGTCTATTGTGTCACTGCCACCCTTTTGGCGCTCCGTATCGACGAGCTCAAAGGTGATGCCCAAGGCGCAGTTCTTGGGCTTCAAGGTATTCCGCACATCGATCACAGAGAAGGTGAGTATGTCCCTGAAGAGACCCAATTGCTGGACCTCCATAATTGCATTATCTGTGACCAGGAAACAGGCTAGGGAATTGCCGCTCTTTAGATCCCTGAGATTTACGTGGTATAAATTGTCTGCCCGCAGGAAGACGGACAACACCACATCTGTGCAGCTTCGATTCCCAATTGATTCCTTTAGCTGATGCTTGAAGCTGTCCAGAATGGGTAAATTTCTTCCCTGACAGAACTGGCAGGTGCTTAAGCACTTTCTCTCCAGGCTGGAATTGGGCTTGGGCTTGGGCTCTGGTTCGGGCTCGAGTTCCTTCTTCCCCTGTTTCTCGGACAGGCATTTTATGGTAGCTTTAAGGCAATCCAATTCCTGACGAATATCAGTGATTTGTTTTTTCTCAAGGCACTCCACCTTCCGAGTAAGTTCACCCAATTGTTTTAATACATTAGGGCAAGTGGCGCAGGACGTCGATTGAGGGGACGGATCACGTTGTTGGCAGCCTGCAGAGTACACTCGAAGTTTATTCAGGGAATCAACGTGGTGAAAGGAGCTACGGGTGTAGGGTATATAACTCTTTTGTTTCGGGGAGTTTGCAGAATACTGTAGTGAAGATATCGAGCATCTGCTGGTTTTCTTCTTCGGTGGCTCCTCCTTGTCCTCGTTCTTGGTTCCCTCTCCCATTGGCACCACAATTAAGGGTCTCTTGTACTTTTTGCATTTTTTCCTTGAGATTTTCTCCTCGGTAGGAGCTACTGGTACCGGTTTGGCATGATCCGGCTCCGAATATATGATCTCGTTTTGGGCTGTGGAATGATTTGACTCCGAACTTGAACACTTCCTGACACAAACGGGAATGTCCGCTGCCACAGGCTCCGTGAAGGATACACAACTTCCACGCCGTGACGATCGTGTATTGCTTAATGCAGATTTATGAGATTCCAAAATTGGTTTTGTGCAGTATTCCAATTTGTTGTTTTCTGATTTGCAAAGCGTTATCGTATCTGTGCATTGATCTTTGCATTTAGAGCATTCTGGAATTGGGGAGCCACCACCAATGATACGGTTGCGAGGTCTTGGAGAGGATGTGCCTTTTTTGGAAACGATTCTGCGTTGCATAGATTTCATTTTGGGTTTTGAGACTGGAGATTGTTCTGGTTTTTCAACGGCTTTGTCAAGAGTTTTTGGTTGGTTAACATGGAACTGGTAGGTATTTTTTGAGTGTTGCGAAAATTGGTTACTCTTTACCATTTTACCGGATGGTGAAAAAAGCGAAGTCTTGTATTTTCTGGAGACAAATCCTTGTTTCAAGTTACTCGGTCGGGGTTGTATTCCAGGAGATTTGCCTGATTTTTCAGCGGCATCGCTGTGTGTTTCAGTTTTCTCAGCTTGGGAGTTGTCACTAGTTTTAGGTGACTCCAAGGACTCGACTTTCTTTTCGAATTCACCAGCTGCTATACGTCTTTGAGCTTCCAGCATGGATGTGCATATTTTAAAGACGTCTCTTGGTTGCATGGAACTCGGCTCGGAAGTCCTGGTCTTCACCCGTCTGTAGTCTACAAAATATATTTGGATATAAACTTATTGGTAAGGATAATCACAGTGTTATTTATTTACCACAAATTCCACTCAAACTGTGATGACTTTCGTGCCTCTGTAAACTAAGAGGTTTCTTGTGGCCTCTAAAACGCTTTGATTTTGACATTTTCCTAAAGGTTTTGTGTTTCGTGATAACTTTTTTGTTATAAAGAATTTAGCGGACTGTAAATACTAAACCTACTTTAATTTACACATTCTCCCATGTTAGAGTTCTTTTTTAGAGTTTATACTCACATTACGCACAATTAAACATTTTATTTGGACGAAATATGATGGTTTCTAACACAGGAATATTTATAAAATCCAATTAAAAGCCCAACTCAGATCGGCTCTGACTGAAATCCAATGCTTTTTTGCCACAAAAATGTGAGTAAGTACAACTTTAGGTTTCGTTATATGTAATAACTTTTATTTTGGCAAACGAAAACCACAAAATATTTAATCTTTAGCTAGATTTTTCGGTTTACAAAATATGTTTACCATTTTCCCTAAAAATGGTTTGTGTTTTTTGTTGTAAAATATGTCTGTATTTTTGTTTCTTTTTGGTTGCTTTTGTGGCTAATGGGTTATGCTTACTTTTACGTACAAATGTTATCATTTTTGGTTTTGTTTTCCTGGAAATTTACACGTGGAAACGTTTGGTTTGGCTTTTCTGGTTTTTAAAAAAGATTAAATGTAATTTACAATTTCAAATGCTCTCGTTAAGCTCCTTTATGTGTATTTATTTATTGTTTTTTAGAGGGGTTTTTAGTATCGTTTATTGAGTGATGATTAAAGGGAAAAATGGTTACGGCTTAGTTATTTGCTCTTTCAGAGCGAAAGTTTGTTTATATTTAATCATTTTTATTTTGGCAACTGTGTGATTATATATATATCTTAAAGATTTGGCAACAAAATCTCTATTAAGATTCAAGGCTCAATCTCAGCAAGGGAAACTAAAGCGAACTCATTAGGAATTTGCACAGAGTGCAGGAAAAGTTGAGTAAAACTTTCAATTTGAATAATTATCTTTGCAATCTAGAGTAGAACCTTTTACTTCTTTTAAACGCTATGAGGATTTGTTTAAATATATATATGTATGTATAAATAATCCTATATGCTCTCTTCATAAATATCTCGCCAAGCTAAACAGAAACCCGAACTAAACTTAATCGTAAAACTGTTTTAGGTTTTTATATAGCAACGCATTGAACTTAAGAGTTAACCCGACCAAGCAAATCAGACAGAAAAAGTAGTGTCCCCTTGGGGACACGCCTTAAAGCTATACAAAGCACATTGGGGCAAAGGTCCTGCATCGTCCTGTTTATCCAGCATCCATTATCCGTTATCCTTCATCCGCCCGCAGATTTAGATTCACACAAGGCTTGGACGCAACAGCTGGCATAGGGATACTAAGGCCAGGATCAGGATCAACACTGGCTGCAGGACTCCCGCAGAGGCACGAGGCTCTAGGGACAGTGTCCTGTACTTCTCCACCCGGGTCCAGTCACTGAAACCAGCCAGGTTGCGAGACGCGGCCCTCACCAGGTAATCGGTGTCCGGCTCCAGATTGGTAAGCAAGAAGGTTGCACCTGTTAAAAACATTATTTGAGTAAAATAATTATGTTTACAGATTACAACCAACCTTCTTCGAAGGGATAGTCCTTCCTCTTGGCATTGGTCCACTTGCCCGCGTCCGTCTTGAACTCCATTTCGGTCATATACTCGATGCGGAATCCATTGACCTCCATTAGGCCACGCTCCTCCTTGCCGCGCGGTGCACTGAGGACCACATCAAAGGTGTTCGAGTTGTAGCCACGCAGTTTGAAGTTGCTGGGTGCCGGCGGCTTCTCGCCCTGCTCCAGCCGTGTGGTTCTCTCGATGCTGCCCAGACCATTCCAGGCCCGGCACCTATAGTTGTCAAAGGCACTGGCATTTACCACGCGAATGGTGAGCCGGGACCAGTAGTTATCCGTCTCGATGGTGTACAGCTTCTGGTTGCTGTGCAGATGCTTCTGTTTCCGGTGCCACGAGAAGTTGGCCGGTGGCTCTGCCAAAACCTCGCACAGGATCGTGGCAGTGCCATTAATATAAGCGAACTTCAAGCTCACAAATGGCGATGGTGACCAAATGGGCTTATCTGCAGGATAATACGAATAATTATACTATAATCTACAGATACTAAATTGTTTTAAAGGTAGTATAAATCAAATTAAGCAGCACTTTGCCGCTGCTGTAAAGCTGCAACCTCCAGTTGACAGCTGCCAAGCTGACGGCGCTTAAAGGTATGCTATGGAAATGGAAAAACCATGTCCGCTAACCATAAATCAGAGCGGGTCCAAGTTGTGCCATTAGCTGCATGTGTGCCACCCCCACTTGCCACACACACGCACACAAACACACACGGACACATCAGTGGCATCCGTAGCATCGGCCGACATTGGAATCCATCAAAAGGCCGCTCACATGCAAGCCCTTGGACTAAACGAATGTAATTTCAGCATTTTTCGTGCTCAAAAACTATTTGCCGCTCACTGTGCCGCATGCTAAGCACAACATACAAATTTTAATCTCCTCTGGACTAACGAAAAAAAAAAGGCAACAAAATGGTGCTCAAGACATTTTGGCAGGACCCTCAAATTAAACACAATGGGATTATACTGGAAACTAACTGAGCTAGTTAAAATAAGTAAATATAAAATGGTGTAAATATTGTAAGAAAGAAATTGTTTATAGTAAGGTTTCATCAAAGATAATATATAGTATAAGATATATAAAATGCTTTAGTTTTCTGCTAACGATTTGATTCCCTTTTTTTACAAGCTTTCCACAAAACCTACTGTTCTATCTCATCATAAAAATTGTTTATTATATTTTCATTGTTTATATATTAAAGTTGTCAAGTAAGCCCTAATAGTTCTTAAATATTTTCATAAAAAGCACATACTAGATTGAGATTATATGATTATTTAGGATTAGTAGTATTACTAAGAACCCCTAAGAATGAATTATATTTGTTTGTAATAGTAATTAGTATTAGTTCTAAGAATCCCTATAAATCGATTACATTAGTTTGTTATAAAACTCAATAAATAATAAAAATATAAATATGATATATATGAAGCAAAGGAACTGCATTCTTAATTTAATTTCCCTTTAAGCATTTCCATCCCACTGTACCTGCTTTTGTTTGAAAAACCATAAATAACACTCACGTTCGATTTTCATCAAAACGGTGCGCTCCTGCATATCGGAGGCGATGGAGTTGACTTGGTATGCCCGGCACGCGTACTCGCCGGTGTCATTCTGTGTTACCTTGTTGATGAGCAAACCATCGGCCAGGATGCGGAACTTGGAGTCATCGGCCGCTGCGGATGAATGCCGAGGGGGGGAGATGTGGATGTGGAAAAAGGGCAGTCAGTCAGTTGTCGGTTGGCATTTTCAGCGGGAAATTCGTAGCTCATTACGAGGGGCAACCGGGGCCCCGAGTACTTACCTCCGGCACTGATGGGCTGTCCGTTGAAGTGCCAGGTGACATTCGGTTGGGGCTCGCCTTTCACCTCGCACAGGATGGTGGCCTTGTCGCCCTCCTTAACGGTCATCACGGTGGCATTTTCCGTGAACGTAATTTTCTCTATCGAAGGTAGGGGCAAGAAAACAATGCAATATTAATGACTGAGCGACCCAGGGCGACCCATGGCGATTCCAGCACTTACGGTACACAATCAAATCGAAGGATTTACTATGCAGACCGCCCTCAGCAGCTTCGCAGGTCCAATTGCCCTTGTCGGCCAGTGCGATGTGGGCGAAAACGATTTTCAATTGTTCTGGCGGGAAGACAAAGGGAATGTCGAAAATAAACAAGCCAGCGAACACGACAGGGGGGAGGAAAAATGAAATGAAAATGGAAAATAGAGTATAGAATACATAGAGAAAGGTTAAACGAGGTTCGTAAAACAAAGCGAGCGGCATAAAGAATGCAGGAAATAACTCTGCGTAGGATCCTGACTCACTGATACCCTTTTTAATTGGATTTAGATTAAATTAAGCTGCCTGACGTATTACTACTAAATAATGCCCCTGCAGGGTATTCTACTTTTAGTCAGAATATGATTTGGATAGTATTTAATTATGTTTGCTTTAAGTAAGCTTCTTAAGAAAGTTACTAAGTTACTAACTTGACAAATAATAATAATGACAAAATAATATCTTAAAGGATTCCCCATCATATCCTTACTGCACCTCCTTACTGCTGGGTATCCAGTTACATAAAGAATGTGGTAGGAGAATTGCAATTAATTGCGTTTGTTGTGCTTGTGCCACCCCTGAACCCCTTACCCTTGGTATCTATGGCATCGGTAGTCCCATTCCCATTCCCATTCCCAAACCCATTGATCCTTACCTGGCGATGTTTGCTCAAAGTGAATGCGTCCTTTGTTCTCGCGTATAATTTCGCCTCGCGGCGATTTCCACTGGAGCCTCACATCCGGATTGGGACTCCGGCACTGGACGATGAGCGATTCGTTTGTGTAACGCACCACACTGTGATCCGCCGGACTCAGCGAAAGGCTCTCATGGTGATTGCCCAAGACGACAGCTGTAATAGCAAAAGAAAAACATGCAACAGTCAGTCGTTGTCGAATCCTGTGGGTAATAGCTCGTTAATTGCACGCACTGCAGGATGTGCTTCGAGGAAGTTCTTTTGCTCCTTTATGCTCAGAAATTTGCATACTCGGTGCAGTTTATTTACTTGGCAACTAAAATAGATAGAGGAGCAATTGCTTTCACAGACACACACAAGTCATAACACTAAAGAACATGTCAAAATAACAATTTTTTTTTAGAGAGAGAAGCGTGTCTCTTATTTAATCTTATTTACTTTACTTACTATTAGGAGTATATTCAAATCCCTCAAGAGCGGCATTAATAATTTATAAAAGCAGCTTTGAAAACGACTAAAGAGGTTTACCCTGTCACTTTACCACTAATTGAAAAATAGTGTAGCAAGATAAATCTATAAATATATTTATTTACAGCCAGAGGACGACAAATGAATATTTTTCGCAAACAAACTTTGATAAGAAACCGGAAGTGTTTTAATTTATTTTCTGGCATAACTCCGACTGCACGCAATTTATGTGGGCAATTTTTATTCCCTAACCGGCAGCTAACATACAGCAAACTGCACTCAACGGATGGTAAAGGCTTTCACTTCTTGTTTGCTCCTCGGCAAGGCAAGGCGCCTTTGCTCATTGAAATTTATCACAAGAAATTGCAATTTCATTTTGCCAATTCATGTCAATCCGCACGAAAGGGAAAAACGGATGCAAAGACTTGGGGCGAGGCCCGAAACTTGGGAAACTAGAACCGGAGGAGGATACCTCCGCAGCCCTTTGGGTATTCGAGCTCCCTCTATATATCTAGATGGAGAAAATTCTTGCATACTTTTTAATAAAGTTTGTTGCATGCCCAAAGTGGCAACGATGGAATAAAAACAAGAGCGCTCTGAAACGCAGCACAGCAGCACATAGAATAAAATAAGGCAGGGGATGAGGGACATGATTGCATCGTTAATTTCGTTGGCAAAACTTTTGCGTTGCCTTTTTGCCCAGCGTTGTGCAAATTTTATTGGCAGCAGTATATGGACATATTGAAATTATACATCTACATAATGAAATACTCTCTTTATATATAGATATATACATACATATGTATATATACAGGGAGAGGCTGAAGGGGGAACCACAAGTCAGGAGTCATCTAAGTGGAACATTATTAACAATGCAACTCGGGCAGAGATGCTTGGAATAAGGTTTTTGGCTGTAGAAACTTGGTTCAAATTAATTAGCATACTTGAAAAAGAAGTTTGTGGTGGTGCTGAGATCTAAGTTGGGTCTGCTAATTGGAGATTTTTAAAGTTGAAGTCAAGTTTACATACTGCAAATATTTCATTTATCTTGCAATTATATCTCTGTAAATTCTGGCATGATTTCCCTTTAAAACATCTTCATAAGCGTTAACTTTTGTTTTTTGTTTGAGAGCTTACTGAATATCTTAACGAATCAATGCTGACATCAGCTAGAGTTGCCAAACAATGGGCGACATTACTTTTTATCGCGCTCTTGGCACAACTTACACGCGAATCCTGCCCCCAAATGTGTGCTATATAGTTATGGGAGCGAGCAAATATTTGCATTGTTCAACTTCACCTGCAGACGCCATTGTCGGTGTCTCTGTCTCTGTCTCTGTCTCTGTCTCTGTCTCTGTCTCTGTCTCTGTCTCTGTCTCTGTCTCTGTCTCTGTCTCTGTCTCTGTCTCTGTCTCTGTCTCTGTCTCTGTCTCTGTCTCTGTCTCTGTCACTGTATCTGTAGCTGTCTCTGTCTATGTATCTGTCTCTGTTGCGTCTGTCTGTTAAATCGCGAGCGTTGACGGCTTGTCTGAATGGTAAGATGACTGAATGAGGCTTACAGGGGAAGAAAATTGCGATAACTTCTATATTTATTATATTATAATTTCAGTCAGAAGTTTGCAACGCAGTGAAGGAGTCATAACCGATCACAAAAGCGATCTCTTACTATTGTAGAATTTAGTTTTTAGTTTTATGAGAATCAGAAAACTATATTACTGTCAGAGAAATGGTTGTTAAATGTTGAGAATCAGTAAGCATCTTTCAACATCAAGTTTCTATGATCTGAAAGTAACTATTATCAGCAAGTATTTATGATCAGTAAGTACCTATAATCAGTAAGTATCAATGAACATTAAGTAACTCTGATCAGCAAGAAACTCTGATCAGTAAGAAACTCTGATCAGTAAGAAACTCTGATCAGTAAGTAACTCTGATCAGCAAGAAACTCTGATCAGTAAGTAACTTTGAACTGTGAGTATCTATGACCAGGAACTAACTCGCAACAGTAAGTATCTATGACCAGTAAGTATGTATGTATGATCAGTTACTAACTTTGAACACTAATAAACAATGACTTGCAACTTTTGTAACAACACATTTCTGATACTTGGCCGGCAGCAGTCACTTCGTTCCGGGGATGTTAGTACTAGTTGGGAATCATATGTACAGATGTGCGAGATTTGTTTTGGAACAAATTTAAGCTATTTAAATGAAACTATTGAGTTATTCTTCTATATAATTTTACTAGTATATAAGTCGGAGCATGGCGAATCGGTGGACTATATATAGACATATATATATCTGTCATAGGAATGGTCGGAAAATTTTCATAAAAATAATTATAATTTTTTCAGTTTTCAACAGATTTTCATCAAATTAAATACATAGGCATTATACATATTACTAAATTGTTGTGTAAAATTGTATAAAAATCTGACTACTATATCATATAGCTGCCATACAAACGATTGATAAAAATAGAGGAATATGCAAAACGGTGAAAGAAAAAAAAAGCAAGCATTACTTTATTGTTTTTATAACATAAATATACATATATAATTTATATTGTATTAATTCCTAGTCATTGAAATTCAATGTATTTTGTATTTAAAAATTTATATAAAAACTCTAAGTTATAGAAAATTTATATAAAAATGTATATAAATAAAACTAAAAAAAAACCCAAAACTTATTTTAAACATATGTATCATATTTATATTTCTAATCTTAGAGTTGGAGTTACTTCCTGCAGAAGGATCTTTTGAACCTTAAATCTTCAAAATATAATTTTAATTGCTTAAAAATATCCCATTTGCTGTCAGTGCAGATCCCCTGGCTCCTGTTGCCGCTCCTGTTTTCAACGCCACAGATATCTGAGCCAAAAAAAAGAAAATAAAGAAAATGCACACGACACAACAGCCGTCATAAAATTTCATGCCCGGACCAAAGTCGCAGCACATGCGAGCTTAATGACAGCGTCACGAAAAATAAAGAAAAAACAAAAATATATATGTATATATATCGCATATATACAAAGGTGTGCTGGAAGGGACAGCGAGAGAGGTAAAAATAAATGTAAAGCAGTGTGCCAAGTGTGAGAAAAACAAACAGTTAGTGGTAAATCGGAAATGGCATTCCCGGAGCCAGCCGCAGGAGCGAAATGAAATTATCTGACTGTCTGTTGGCTCTTGGCATTGTTCGGCGGCCTTTATAAATGCATTATGCCATGCACTCGTGTGCACAGCGAGTGCAAAAGGGAAAATGTGCGGCGGGAAAATGCAGTGGATGGGAGTTTTTGGGATGGTTTTCCCATCGTGGGTGGAGCTGTTGAGCGGCAACACGTGCGAGCTGCCAAAAAATGCACCCAAGCATGCAGTCGCGTGGGCGTCGTCCTGTGAACTGACATGCATGTGCTTGTCCTGTCAGGATTTTTCCCTCCCATAATATTATAGTAGTGTTAACCTGGAAATTCCGTTATAAATGGAATTCATTATGTCATGGCATTTTTGTCCTCATTTGTCATTTGCAAAACCACTTTGGTTTTCACGGTTGGTTTTGCCCTATTTCCATTATCCAATAATTGTTTAATTAAAATTAATAAATTCCTAAGAGCAACTGAGGTATTTTCTAAATAATTACATTTAGCTTTGACTAATTTGAACCATGTGGAAGGGGTTTGCAAAATATACATAAATGCTATGTGAAAGGAATCCAAGCCTAAAGGATAGCGTATATTTTATAATAACCTAACCCTTAAATTTTAAGCAATTCCAGACATTTATTTATAAGTAAACTATTAAACCGAAATAGCAATTAAAAACTTGTTTAGTTAGTATCCAATAAAAATCCAATTCTTTTAAAATTCATTTCCTTGGCAGCATTAAATATAAAGTTGTGCTAAAAACTTGTGCCACCATTGGACATTTATTGCCGCCTTCCGACGGCTGCCCCTCTGAAATCGTAGCCATTTATTCATTTGTTTTTAAATTATTCTGACAGAATTTTTAATGAAATTTCCCCTTCTTTAAGGCGGCCGTCTGCCTGCAATTCAATTTCCATTAGCTCAGCGAAAAACTTTTTAATTATTTTCCAATGCTTAATGGGGATACTCCGGGGGAAAAAAGGTGCATTGCTTTTTATTTGCCTCGCAATGCTGCAAGTTTTCCTCTCGTTGTGCGACATTTTTGTTTTGCATTTACTCTGGCAAACAAAAAAAAAAAGGAAATAAAAATACAGAAAAGTTTGTTATTATTTTTTGGATTTTTGTTTGAGCGCATATTTTTTCCAGTACGCACGCATGGCTCTCAACTTCAATAAAAAAGTTTTAGTTTCAGCGAGCAAGGGAGGGGCAGGGCATCAATCCTGTGAGCATTAGGGAGTGTTTTAATGTCAGCATAAACGCATATGAAGCGCACTTAACCTGAATTATTCGCGGGCTTTGGCCCAGGCACGCATTTCCCCGACATCGGGGGAAAAGCCCAAAGGAAAATGCGGGCAAATAAAAGCCCTCGACGGCGGAGCATGCAAATAATTGCAGCATTTGTACGAGCTTAACCCATTTCTGTCAGGGCATATTCCTGATACCCAATGGGATATGGCCAGGAAGTTTGTAGGGATAAAAAAAGTTATTCTACAGGAAAGTGGTTAACTTTGTGTCAAAAGCCAGACAGAACCGAGGATAATGATCA